TCAGCAGGATGGATGGAAAACATATCTTTCTCTTAACAGATCTGTTGACAAAAGTAGCATCAAATATAAAAAAGAAGAAAAAACAAAAATCCATTTGTGAAAGAAAAAAGTATTGACTCCTTTCCTTAAGACACAGAGAACAACAAGCTCAGTTTTCCAGCCATGATGCAAAAAATACTTTGAGACAAACACTATTATGAACATTTGCAGGGATACTGGTGCTTTCACTAAGCAAGAATGGAACTCCAAAGAGACTCTAGGCTCATTGGGCACATTTACCTGCTATCAGACTTCTCATAAATATAGTCTGTCTTGTGTAGTAGCTGTCCTAAGACTAGGTCAACATAAGGAATTCATAATTTGTAGTATCCCCATTCACCATTTTGTCCTCATTTTGTATTCCTAGCTTTTTGTACTGTAGCTGTCCACTCAAGGTATAATACTGAAAAGATTTTTCTTGGTTTTTTTTTTTTTTTTTCCATTATAGTGAGTTCTTCAAAAGAAGAGGGCCAACTGGACAAGAGTCTGCAACAAAGAGAACTGATGAAATGTAAAAGGTAAGATTTTTTTTTTATAAGTTAGCCATTGCTTAATGGCTAATGGTGCCAGGCTAGAACAACCCCAAGTGCTGAAGGCTGTGCCACTGCACTTCCCTGCATAAACATGGGTTAAGCCTGCATGCCTATTAGCTGGTGGCTGGAAAGCATGTATCTGGACCTCATCTGGTTTCACTTTATACAAAAGAAATCCAGTGAATGAGCTACTAGAGTTCAAGAGGCCCAGTTCTTGGGCTGGTTCACTGTGTGACCCAAAGTACATTAAGCAGGAACGAAGGAGACTTGCAGAAAACCAGCTGAAGTCGCTGATGTGGATGTACCCACAATTTTCTGGCAGAAATTTGACTTCCTAGTGTATTAACAAGTTGTTTATGCTCTTTGTTTTCCCCCTCTAACCTTGATTTGTCCTTTTCTACCTTTTAGAAAACTTCTGGGCTTTAAATTAGTTGAATGACCTCCTAGATCAATTTGTAAAGTCCTGCAGTGGTGTATTTGCAATGGCAGAAGATAGTGCAAACATGAAGTAGAAGAGACTCAACCTAGCAAGTTCAGTCAATGCATGACACCTAAGCTTAGCCACTCTGGTCTAGATTTAAGAGAATTGGATGTGTCCAATATCAAGTGCTAGTCCTGGGCCCAGATAAGGACTGAGACCTGAGCTGTACCACACTTACATGCCTCAGAAAAGGGTGGTCTTACATATCCAGCTGATGCCTATGCAGGGCAAGCTCGTTTTTATCTACACATAATTATAGAAGAAATTAAAAGGCCATACCTACTGTTGTCTTCTGACTATAACGTTAGTCTAACAATAACAATAGAGCAGCTGATGACAGTTTCTCTCTCAATAGGAAAAATATACAAGATTTTATAGTATCCATTTTTGCTTAGGAATAAATGCATATATTCTTTATATGATAATTCACAAGGAGATTTGAAAGTGTTTCTGTTTGCAGTTCTTCCTCTGATCAATGGAAAATACCCACTAACAATAAAGAAAAAGTTGCCACTGGTCGTGTAAGTATCACTAATAGTATTTATAGACATTTGTATTTATAAATATATACTATTTTACAGTTGCAGTTTTCTGTTTCTTGTTGTGGTTGCATGATATATCATTACTGAATTTAAAATAAATCTTACAGATTTTAACTAAACTTTAAGTACATACTCTGAGGTTTTATATTTTGATGATCTGCTACTGATTGTATTTTCATACTATATCTAGGTCCAGTCTTTTGCATATTTCAGAAAGAAGATTAAAAAAGCTTTTACCTCTGTTAAAAAAGCATTCTGTTTGTCTTTAGGAAGTTTAAATACCTGTGTGCTGGAGCAGGCACTAGAAATTTTGCATGGTAATACTGCTGCAATATTTTTCTATGTTAGAAGCACACTTTTTGCATTCTCCATTAAAAAAATCTATCATATGCTAGGGAGAGGGAAAAGAACAAGTAAAACAGAGTGTGGAGAAGGCCACAGCTTTCTGGGAAGCTTTAAGTATCACAATCAAGACTGCCTATAATAGGTATTGTTAAAGAGCAGAGTATAGTGGGAGAGGACACCTTTTTACAGTATGATTTTATATATGTAAGTTATCAGATTTAATTAAGACATTCTCTAAATTTATTTTGAATTTAATCTATCCAATTCCCATTATATAATGTATATGTGCCTTCAACAATGATAATGATTTTAAGAGTAGCTCAGTTTTTTACACACTCTTTTTTTTTTTATATATGTATTTAGATGAAAGTGTCAGTTGTTTGGAAATACCTCCAAGCCTTTGACTGGTGCTGGGTGTGGTTAACCATAGCTGCTTATTTAGGACAAAATGCAGTAGCTATTGGACAAAATCTATGGCTTAGCACCTGGACTGCAGAAACATCAAAAGTTAGCGATTTCACAGAATGGAAACATTCACAAAACTATAAACTTTGTGTCTATGGGCTTCTGGGATTCACTCAAGGCAAGTATGAGTATTTATGACTGTTTTCTCACCATTTGCCAAGTCTGATCTGCCGCGGTGTGCATCAGTAAAGAAATAATTCTGGTTGTTTCATAAACAGAATGTTATACAGCACAGTATGATAGTTTACCTTGGGGAGAGGAGATACACAGACGAAAATGCTGTTTAGTTCATGCTACTTCTGTGCGTCCTTGGAACATCCAAGTGTAACCTAATGAAACTATGTTGGCATCTCACTGAGGGAGAAAACCAGCGTTGATATGGTATGCTAGCATGAGAGGCTTAAATTGCAGGAAAAAACATACTTTGGAAGTAGTAAGGTGTATCGACAAAATACAAATATGTACATTTGTAAAACTAAGACATTGTGCATGACTGTTGGATTGCTCACTGTGGTACAGAGCAGTGACAGAAACAAGCTGCATCTCCCTTCTTTCCTCAGCCATTCACAGAGTCTTTTAATTTATCCATTTACAAGGTCTTCTTGTTTGCTGTGGTTCTTATGTGCTCACCAGGGGATCCCTGTGTGCTTCTCGGGCATTGCATCATCAGCTGTTAGACAACGTATTGCACCTTCCTCTTCAGCATTTTGAAACTAATCCAGTTGGTCAGATCATCAATAGATTCACAAAGGTAAAGGGTAATTAATTTCCATTTAGTGTTGCTGAAAAATTAAAGACATCTAAGTGAATGCAATATCTAGCAATAGAAAGATGTTTCAGTGCATAGAAACTTAAAGAACTGTCTCAAGCTATTTTCTTACAGAATCATCAAAACATATTATTAGTAGAGGTTGTATAGATCCTATCCCAGATCAGGAGGCCATTCCTTAAAGACCATTCCTGCAGTACAGTGAGTTTACCAGATCTAAACTTGATCTGTTTAAAAAAAAAAAAAAAAACAAAAAAACTGTATTATTCTTTGATAGTATATTGCACATCAAAATCAAATATTATTCTCAAAACCAATTATTATATTAAATTCACATTCTCAGAGGTATATTGACATAAAGTGAATGTTATTTTCTATTTTTATAGTGTTTTGGCTTTAACTGGAACCTCTAATACACAAACCAGGTTATTTACTGTGACTCTAGTACTTCCCACTGTAATTATAACTAGATAGTTGCTGACTGCTTCAAATACAGTGACTGTTGATGGCTGTGTTCTCTAGAACAGACACAAGAGTGCTTGTATGATACATTAAAAGGTCAGCTGATTTAGATTTCACTCAAGCCTTGTCTTTGGTAGCAACGTATTATAAACTGGGTTTGAGGAAGCTTTACCATGTACAGTGAGAGATTAGTAATATTACACTTCTAGAATTATTAACAGGGGTATACAAGATTTTGATTCCTGATGTCTGATGTGCTTTATGTAAGCTAAATAGTATTGAGCAGCAAAATAGCAAGAACTCTCTCTTTTTGACTGCACACACTCTGAGCTTGTTCTCTGACATGCCAGGAGTAGTCTAAAAGCTATTATGTCTGTTTCACTTTCAGAAAAATAATAATTATAAGAATACATTGCATTAGGATGTAATCAGCGATGATCCTACTAATTTTTTATTGAAGATCTTTTAATTTTATTCCATTTTTAAATTATGTATTCTCAGTTTTTAGTGGAATTTACTCACAAAATGGTGATTCTTCTGTGCATTGTTACAGGATTTATTTATAGTGGACGTACGTTTCCATTACTACTTACGAACTTGGCTAAATTGTACACTAGATGTTATTGGAACCATTCTAGTTATCACATCTGCCTCACCACTATTCATAGTGGTGGTTATTCCCCTGGGATACTTCTATTTTACTATCCAGGTAAATGCATTAAGCTTTTCTAAGTATTTCTAGATGTATCTAGATGTATGTGGATGAAATACTCAAAACAATCCAGGATACAGGCTTAAATTATTCCTTGCTGGAATAAAAAACCCAAACCACCACAACCATATATATGTATATACAGAACACATCTGAAATTGCTTTCAGAAAAACAATTTTATGTTTCTTAAAAGGAAATTGGAACACTTTTTGGATATATCCTGTAATGCTTGGGAACTGTTAACAGCCTGGATTTTTAATTTCTTTTATTTTTTTTTTTTTCTTGGGAAGTTACCACTTTGATATAGATCCCACCAATAAATTTGATAAATTTACCTGAAAAAAAAATGAGGTGTATATTATAGTGAAAGTAAAAGTTGAAAGGTAATCCTGAAACAGCAGATGTGAAATAGAATTATGCCTAAACTACCTGTGCTATTTTTTGTCCAGAGTGCCAGTTATGTGAAACCAAAAAGTTTCAGAAAGATTAATGGCTGCATTCCTGTTTCTTAATGTGCAAAGTATGGTCTGAAAGACCTTAAGAGATTCTTACTGTAGGAATATAGAGGAAGGAAAAGAGTGCCTGTATTCAGTCTCTGCTAAAGAATTTAAATACAGACATAATTACACTGAAGAAATAAAGGCTGACTTTCTTCTGAGAAACAAGTGGGACATTCTAATTTGAAAGTTTACAAGAAGTTTTAGTTGGTTGTTACACACCTCTTGTGATATAGCACATTTTCCATACATTTTGGAGATAATGTTCTCCTACTTTAACCTTGCCAGTAATTTATATATTGCACTTATATAAGCATTACAATGTTACTGTGTCCCAAGAGACACACTTTGTTTTTTTCTATAGTTTGTTTCTGTGTAGACACTTCCAACCTTTCCGTATTCAAAATTTACAGGAATTACTTAACAGATTACTTAACTGGAAATAAACATGGCAAATATTTTAAACAATGTAAAAGAGACTGTAGCAACCTAAAATGTCTGTTTTGTCTTACTGTTCCATTAGAGATACTACATAGCGAGTTCACGACAAATTCGGCGGCTAGCAGGAGCATCCCATTCTCCTGTCATCTCCCACCTCAGTGAGACTTTTGTAGGACGATCAACAATTCGAGCATTTGGCCACCAAGAGAGATTCATTAGAAAAAATAATGATGTTGTGTATGAGAACTTAGTTTACTTCTACAACAACGTCATCTCAAACAGGTACTTTCCAGCAGTTCTGCATCTGTGACTGGGATAAGCATATGCTGTCCGGGATAAGAATATTAAAAAGAGTTTACCAAAAGGTCATGAGCAAAGACTATACTACATATCAACTAAGAATTCCTCGTATAAGTTTATGAATTAATCAAATTTATATTTCAGTAATCTATTTGGAAGCAACATGATGTCTGTTCCCACAGGCACCAGGTAGGTCTTGAGAGTGGAGTCTTGGGTTTAAGGAAGTACGTCCATTTCCTGTCCTTCCTTTCTGGTTCAGTTCAGCTACAGGCAGAGATTAGCAAGGAGAAGGTTTACACTTCTGTTTTTCAGTTATATATGTGGGTCTTATCCAGACAGAAAGAGTAGGAAAGCAGTATGAGGAGTGAAGGGAGTACCAGCCAGGAGCAGAGAGACCTGCTTTTTATTTTCAGTGGAGCTACCAATTCTAGATACGTCATATTCCTTCTCCAGCCCATCCGTAAAATGGGAATGATAGTAATTTCCTCTTTTCTAAAATGGGTAAACTGCTAAAGTAATGACCTCAAAGATTTGGTATGTTCCCTATGCTATAAAAAATTTGTGAGTAATTAAATTCTTTCTTTGCTTTGATTTATTACAGGTGGCTGTCTGTCAGGCTTGAATTTTTGGGAAGTTTAATGGTATTCTTTGCTGCACTGTTTGTGGTACTGGCTGGAAATACAGTGAGTTCGTCTACAGTGGGTTTATCAATATCCTATGCTTTAAATGTAAGTAATGGTATAATGCTTTTGCTGCTGCCACATTGTGTTTGAAAAAGGAAAAATACATATAATGATGTTGAGTAGATTAATATACATGGTGGCATCAATGAAACTCTGTCTTATGGAGAGAACAGAATTTTCTTTCGAATTCCATTGATTCTTGGGAAGCTTCACATTAATTATTTTCCACTTCTGAATTTAGATGAAACAACAATTATTATTACAGATTTAAAAATCAAGTTAAGAATATTAGCTATGGTTTACTTTTAAGTGTTCTGTTAAATCAAAGAAAAAGCCTAGTCATGTGCAATTACACTTCATGTTTGATTTATTTCTTTTTTTCACTTACTGAGTGTTAAGTAGGAATGCTTACATAGAAGTTTAATAAAATCATTTACTATGCCATTGTCCTTGTAAAAGTAATATGTGAGAGCCACATTTGAAATGGGTCTTGAAGTAAGGTAAACTGTATTGATAAGTTGCTAGTTAAATCTTACATATTATATATGCACAAAATAAGCATCCAAGTCTCTTTAATCATGTGATACTTAGGTGTCTAGTGGTGTCCAGATTCTCACTGTGGTAAGTGCTTCAGAAACACAGCTGACAGATACTAATGATTAGAAATACAAAAAAAAAAATATACCTGCCATGGCATATATACATCACCTCCAAGTCACAAGAGTTTCATTTTCTGTTATTCAGAGACAGAACAATCTCCTTTATATCATTATAGACCTGGTGATCATAGAATCATAGAATGTTTGAGTTGAAACGTCATCTAGTCCAACCCCCCTTCTTTAAACAGGGACATCTCCAATCAGATCAAGTCACTCAGAGCCTCATCAAGACCTTGAATGTCTGCAGAGATGGGGCCTCCACCACCTGTCTGGGCAACCTATTCCAGTGATCTCTCATCCTCAGGCTGAAGAACTTTCTCCTAACGTCTAACCTGAGTCTACCCTTTTCTAGCTTAAAGCCATTACCCCTCGTCCTGTCACTACAAACCCTTGTGAATAGACCCTCCCCTGCTTTCTTGTAGGCCCCTTTCAGGTACTGGAAGGTTGTTATAAGGTCCTCCTGGAGCCTCCTCTTCTCCAGGCTGAATAACCCCAACTCCATCAGCCTGTCCTCATAGGAGAGCTGCTCCAGCCCTCTGATCATTTTTGTGGCTCTCCTCTGGACACACTCCAACAGGCCGATGTCCTTCTTGTGCTGGGGGCTCCAGAGCTGGACACAGCACTCCATGTGAGGTCTCACCAGGGCAGAGCAGAGCGGCAGGTTCACCTCTCTCCATCTGCTGGCCATGCTTCTTTTGATACAGCCCAGGATCTGATTGGCCTCCTGGGCTGCTGCTGCACATTGATGGCTCATGTCCAGCTTCTTATTTACTAGTACCCCCAGGTCTTTCTAAAAGTGAACTGCTTTCTAACATGTCCTCTCCCAGCCTGTATTGGTTATGTTGGTTGCCCCTCCCCAGGTGCAGGACCCTGCACTTGGTCTTGTTGAACCTCATGAGGTTCACCTGAGCCCACCTCTCCAGCCTGTCCAAGTCCCTCTGGATGGCCTCCCGTCCCTCTGGCACATCAACTGCACCACCCAGCTCAGTACCCTCAGCAAACTTGCTGAGGGTGCCCTCGATGCCACTGTCTGTGTCGTTGATGAAGGTGTTAACAGCACCCGTCCCAGTATGGACCCTTGAGGGACACCACTTGTCACTTTTGCCCAGCTAGACATAGAGCCATTGTGATGACAGTCACAGGTACTGCATTTTTTCACCTTTCTCTCATGTAAAATTGACACCATTCTTTCTTTGGTTACATAGAATATCTTAAAATGGCTGACTCTAAGAATTCTTTTGGCTCATTTTTTTCCTGTAGAAGTGGGGATATTTAACCAAAGAATTGGTACCACAGAAGTGCAGAGGCATTCCCAGTGCCTGAAGATGACAAATTTGGCAGACATGGTAGACCAAATACATACTTCCATTATGTACAAACAAACACACACAAATTTTGTACAACAAAATTCTTTGTCCTATATTGCTAGCTTACTTTGCCTAGGGAGTAGTGCAATAATGTACCCACAGTATGAGCTACATATGTTCTTCCTTTCAACATATCCTATAATGTCTCTGCATTTTCTGTTGATCCTGAAATAGTTTCAGATTGTTGGAGTGGTTACATTAGTGAAAATTACAATTGCCATTGGGCAGTGTGAAAGCAGACAAGAAGTGCTCAGAGGAACGCTGTGATTAATGCTTTTCTAAGTAACAGTTCACTTGGCCTGCTATCATTTTCTGTACACTTTTTGGCTTCTGTGATTAAGTACCCAGTTTATGAGGCAATTAAATTCAGGGTAAGTTTTGAAATCAGTATGCTGTGTTCTAGGAGAGTCAGATTTTTACAGTGTACAATGCAACTATTTCCCCAGATAATTCAGAGTCTAAATTTTTGGGTGCGTAAAGCATGTGAAATCGAGACCAATGCAGTTTCAATTGAACGAGTTTGTGAATATGCAAAAATGGATAAAGAGGTGAGCATTTTTCTTGAATATTCAATTTATGTGCATAGAAAATAATTAACTTTGACTTTAGTAGTTGGTGAGTGGTAATAGCAGGTTATAACTTGTTATTAAATACTTTCTCGGTTTTTTTTACATTGAGAATAATATGTAGTTTCTTCAGTACTCCTGTTTTGACAGTAAATTTCTTGGCATCATTCTTAGCAATAGAATTTGTAGTAAAACTAATGCAGCTAAAGCTCAGGTAAACTCTTTCCACGCTATCTGCAACCAAGAGGAGCATTTTAAGAGGAGAAGAGAGGAAGAGAGTCCTGTAAGATCTGGAGAGAGGTGTGTTGCAAACTGATTTGCCTTAGTTATTGTGCTTTTCTGAAAGTAGTGCCCGTGTCACGTATGGAGGTGTAAGAGCCTTGGTGTGTCTCAGAAGCAAGATTCTCTTCTGCTTCTTCATTCTCTCTTACCCTTTCCCAGTGCTTGTTTCTTAACCTTTGTTCACTTTGTAACACTTTTACTGTAATATACTGAAATATCAATGGTTTTAATTCCAGGAACCGTGGATAATGTCCAAAAGACCACCAGTGGGGTGGCCCGATAGGGGAATAATAGAGTTTCTTAACTACAAGGCTCAGTACAGGAAGGATCTTGGTTTAGCCCTGAAAAATATCTCTTTTCAGACACAGAGTAAAGAGAAGGTACCGTATATAATAACAAATATCACAGAGGTATAAATTTGTGTTTCTCAACTTTCTGCTTCAAAAAGGTTTTATGTGAGGAGACTCCAGTACTAGATACAGCAAGATGATGTTGAACAGGGAAGATGTTAAGTGGATAAGACATCGAAGAGAAGACAAATGAGAGAAGTATTTTCTCCTAGTATGTAGAAATTCTTATCCCTGTAAGAAACAGAGATAACATTTTATTAATTTGGCAGTTTTAAGGAAGATCTCAGTTTTAAGTTAAACCTCTTTTCCACTGTGCTGAGTATTTATGTACAGATATATGCTTACAGATAAGTGCTAATCAACTTATCGAGGAACACCAGGTGAACCTAGTTTAAAGTTATTGGTTTGAGCTGAGAAGTGCAAGACAAAAGGGAGGGGAAATGGAACCGGGCATAGGCTATACAGCTTCTGAGGCAGAGCTGTGATGGTGAGTCATGCGTTACAAAGGTGACTTTTAAACAGTTTTATCCACCTGTAGGCTTGCATAGTGGTGAAAGAAATTGAAGTTTTGAACTGAAAGTTGAAACTGAATTCACTAATCATTTTTCATACAGAATGTATAGAATAGAAAGTTATAGTCTTTATCCGAAAACTTCCTGTTTCAGGTTGGAATTGTCGGAAGAACAGGAGCTGGTAAATCAACACTCACAAATTGCTTGTTTAGACTCATAGAGGGATCTGAAGGCAAAATAATTATCGATGGAATTGATATATCAACTATTGGACTCCATGACCTACGTGGAAATCTCAATATTATTCCACAGGTGAGATGGGGTTTAGAGATAACGCTTTTTTTTTACTAACAGAAAACACTTTTTTTTTTAAATTATAACCCCAAAGTCCACAAGCTCCCAAGCGACAGAGGCAAAACAGTCCAACAGAATTTGCGCAGTCTTTGAAAACAGGCTCTGTTATGGCCTATCAGGTTTTAGAATTGAATTTTTTAGTATCTCAGCTATTTGATTAGACAGTAATCTTAAATAATGCTGGCATAATGCTTTCCTTAAAAATGTCACAACTGCATATTGTTTATAAAACAATTCTATGTATAAAATCTGTGCAGTTATTCCTACATTGTCAAATACTGCCTTCTGAAATTTGCCTTTTTAAGAAAAAGGCTTTTGTGTGCATCCCCCCAAAAGAAAACTGCTTAGAAATAGCTACGGAGTGCTTGTTTTTATAGTTTTGATAGTGCTGGATGTGACCCATATGCATCCTGGCATGTACTAGTCTACGTGTGCTTTTCCAGACATTCCCTACTGCATTCAGTGTACACAGGCTAGTGATGCTCATTTATGAACTAATTGCTGTTGGTTTTATTGCTGAATATGTCACCTTTCCTGTAGGAAATTAAGAATATTTGATTTACAGTCATAGCCTTCTAATTTTTCTTAACACTGCTCATTAATGTAGTATGTAGAGCTTCACAAACCTGACAACAGTAGTAATTCATATGTTGTTGCAGTTGCCAGTTGCTGGGCGGGTCTTCAGTCAGACATAGAACCGTTAGCACAAAAAATGCATAAGAAACCTTTGGTTCTTTACATTTCACCTTAGTGAAAACCTAAGCACCCACATGATTTTTGTCTTGTCATCCACAAGCTTCAAAATGTTACAATTTCCTTCGTAAAGCTTCATTTCCAAAATCATTTGTCCCAGTTCCCTGTGTTAATGTAAGGATTTATGGCAGACTGTTCTAGGTGTGTTGGAATTGTGCACTCACATTCTGCTGTTATGTAGGACCCTGTCTTGTTTTCTGGGACACTGCAGTCAAATTTGGATCCACTTGAAAAACACTCTGATCTTGAACTGTGGGAGGTACTAGAGCTGTGTGACTTAAAGGATTTCGTCCAGTCACTCCCAAAGAAACTCCTTCATGAGATTTCAGAAGGTGGTGAAAATCTCAGGTACATAAAAAAGAAAATGCTATTGCAGTTATTTTCTGGTACTGTAAAACGGTATGTTCCTTCTAGAAAATTTACATCAGAAAGTATCAGTATAAAAATGACACTTCTCACCTCATTCTAAGTAGAATGGTTCTGAGTTTCTCTGAGGTGGCCAACTGGTCACAACTGTGTAAATCCTGTGGCCTGTGTTGTATGGGCAGCCAAGGAAGTAGACAATTTTCAGCTGAAGTATATGAGTAGGTGTAAAGGAGCAGGGGGAGGGAGGAAATCAGTGAGCTCTAGGATACAAATACGGATGCATTCTGCAGCAAAGGGGCAGGCCTTAAATGGAGGGTACTGAGTGCCACCTTGAATTGTTTTTGAGAGATCATTTTCAGGAATCGGCTTCCAAAAGGGATATGCCACAGCTAACATATGGAAATGTCCAAATCTTTACACTGAGCATTATTAAAAAATGGTCTAGCATTCAATCTCATTTATTCCAAGTCCCCATTATGATGTGGTTATAGAAATTGAAAGCAGGACAAGGTTTATGCTACAAAGTCTGGCCACAGGTGTTCTAAGAGTCACAACTTAACTGGTGTGCTAAGCAAGAGGAAATCAAAACTAAGAGAACAAGGTGAACGTACTTCACTAGTCTTTTTGGCAGTACAGAGTAGTGTTAAGAAAGGCAGAACTGATAGCTCCCCAGTAATCCCAGCTGTGTGTTGTTGTGCCTGACCCAACCTTTTCAAATGCATTTTCCCAGCGTGGGGCAGAGGCAGCTGGTCTGCCTGGCCCGCGCCTTGCTGCGGAGGACAAAAATCCTGGTCCTCGATGAGGCGACAGCCTCTGTTGACGTGGAAACAGATAACCTGGTGCAGTCCACCATCAAAAGAGAGTTTTACAACTGCACAGTATTAACTATAGCCCACAGGCTACATACAGTCATGGATTCAGAGAGGTAAGTGAGTTTTGGTAAGCCATTTTAAAAATAAATGTCTTCCTTCGAAAGCATCAGTTTTTAGACTTAACAGATTTTACACTACAACACTTTTCACATTAGTATCTTTGTATCTGTTTGATCCAAGGTATCACAAAAGACTTGAGCAGCAATATTAATTAAATATCGACAACCCGTGTTCTGTTTCCCCCTTATAATTACAGAATTAATTTAGTATTTTTCCTGCTAAGGAACAGCTATAAGCTACTATTAAGACCACTTAATTCCCTAGAGTAAATGGACCATTGTAACATTTTTACCAATTAAGCAAAAATGCCATTTTTCAAAAGGCTTTTTTAAATATAGGAGTTCCTAGCTTTAGAAATCAATGAATTATCTAGGGTAATGATGATATTTCTTCTAAATAAGAGTTCTCATTACCCAGAGCCATTTGTGTTAGGACTGGAAAATGAGATTGAAGAGCTGATTTTTCTTCTGCTGTAATCTTTCTGCTTTTGCATTGTAGAGTACTTGTTCTGGATGCAGGAAGGATCCTGGAATACGATACACCACATAATTTGCTACAACAAAAAGGTGCCTTTTCTGAAATGGTTCTAGAGGCTGGGATAAGAAGATGAAGAACATTAATGAATGAATTGTTAATAAAGACAAGCATTCCCTAATCCAGTAAACACTCAAGGGATATCTGGCATTCCACATATATATGGAACATTTCATATTCCAAATACAATAACTAGCTTGCCTAAAAGCTCCTTAGAGCAGTGCTATTTACTACAATGACAACCTGTATACATTGATCAAGTTTCTTAAAATAACTCTCTAATTTCATAAGAATCACTTATTTTGATCAAATTTGCACTGAAACAACATAATGAAGAAGTAAATTCCATGGCATATTTTAAGTGTTGCAGTAGTAAAGACCGACTGAAAAATAAATCTTGCTGTTCACACACTGGTTTTAACTTACTTTAAAAAAAAAAATACTTAATGAAGTTGCCCTGACATTATGCTCACTTAGTTAATATATTCTTATTATGACTGCAAATTCATAAAAAAATAAAACTGCCTATTGTGTGAACATGCAGGCAGGTGTCACATGGCAATGATTTTTAGGACAGACATACATGTTTGCATGTGTACTTAGGTAACACTTGAGGCAATAAAATTGCTACATTAATTTGCCTTTTGACTTAGTGATTTCTCAATAACTGAAAAATCATTTCAAATAACTGAAAACCGTGTCTTGTGTATCTAATTGAGCATTACAACACTGCATTGTGGAAGAAACCCAGAAAAAAATGGAATCAGGTGCAACTAGCTCTTTGCTAGCAGATTTTAATGCAAACCTCAATACTAATTACAGCAGCAGGACAGGTTATGTACATTTACTGAAAGTATCAGATAAATATGCCTATGCTTCTGTAGGCCACATAAATATTAATTTTCATTTTTTACTACAGTTCCTAAGACTCTTCATATTTAATACCAACTCAGTCAGTGTAATCTTACCTTCAAAATCAGAGCGGAACCTTCTCACACCAACATTTATCTTTCCTGCAGCATTTGAAGTGCCATAGGCAGGTTCTTCTGGGGCTCTGCTTCCCCCAGCCTTGTCCCAGTCCCTTACCCACCTTCATGCTCACCTCCAAGCCCACCCTTACTTGAACGTATCACAGGAGGAACTGGAGAGAACTGAAATGAGTGCCATTCCTAAACAGAATCGCCTCCCTGCTCCTGCTGCACCTGGGCACACTGCTGGCTCATGTTCAGCCAGCTGTCCACCAACACCCCCAGGTCCTTTTCTGCCAGGCAGCTTTCCAGCCACTCCTCCCCAAGCCTGTAGCATCACCTGGGGCAATGTTGTGACCCAAGTGCAGGACCTGGCACTTGGCTTTGTTAAACCTCACACAGTTGACCTCAGCTCATTGCTCCAGCCTGTCCAGATCCCTCTGCAGAGCCTTCCTACCCTCAAGCAGATTGACACTCCCACTTAATTTCATGTTATCTGCAAATTTTCTGAGGGTTCACTCAATCCCCTCATCCAGGTCATTGATAAAGGTATTAAACAAGATTGGTCTTAAATTTCCCTA